GGCGAAAATACTGCCAAACCCAACTAGGGTTTTTTCGCAATTTAGGTTTATTACCAGGTTTTTTATTAGAACAGTTTAGATTATTATTTTTATTAGAATGGTCTGTATCACTAGTTTTATCAGAATGATTTGTAATAATATTAAGGTCTGCACTAATATTATCTTTACTTAATGATTCATCGCTAGAAGTATCATTACACTCAGGACTAGTATCAGAATTCGACATTGCATTGGAGTCAGTATGGTCTTTGGATTTTCGTTTTTTAGCATTCATTGTCATGTCAAGTACAGAAAAAAATTTTATTTTGATAGTGTTTGTTTTTTTTTTCTTTTGTTTTTTTTTTAGAGTATTCAGACTTTAAATAGAACCGATAACAAAATATTGGCTCTATATTGCTTCGTTATAGAACAATAAAGACTATTGAACAGGACAATGGCTTTTAAAATTTTATTTTTAAAAAAAAAAATTGACCATAATTCTAATCAATTATTTATATTGTTTGAATTTAGGCGAACATTTTACAATGAACTGATGGACAATTGATTATGCATATGTAAAAGAGTTATCCTTTTACGGGTCATGGTTAAAACTAAAGGTGCAGACATTAGAATGTGAAATAACATACGGCATAGCCATAACTGGGTAGTTACCCAAATTTTATATGCCATAAGAGAGTAGTTACTCTTGATTTGAGAAATGTCTGCATCTCTAGTTAAAACTGTTTACTGAAAATATTTTGAATACTTTCGGTAAATCCACTATTCTGAATAAAAAAAAATACTGACTTCTAAAAAATTAAAATAAGCGAATGACATTTATATTAAACTTGCCACAATGCATTGATTTGAACTGATAGAAAAATGTAGTTTTTTTTTTGAAAAAAAAGCATTGCATACGTACATGGCATATCTAATCTAGTTAACGCATCAAACTCTTATTAATTTGAACTGATAGAAATATGTGGCAAAGTATTTTTAAAAGTAGGCTTTTGTAAATTTGCCAACCAAAAATACTACGAATGCTTACAGAATACTGCATGATAACAATTATGCAATCATTAAATTCCAGAATAACAATGACAGCCTGCAATGCGATATTCAATAATCATAATAATCATTGAGACTCAGGAAAAAATTTATAAAATTAGATTACTATGCTAACTAGAAAAGAAAATTAATTTGTATTGCATGTTGTTCATTTATTACAAGAAAGCCTTTTATTCCCACAAGTTACTAAACCACTGCGCGGTTCCTACCCAGTGGGAAATGAGTAACTAACATAAATAGATCAATTTAATAAACAGGCTTCATAAATCGATTATATCATACAGACAGATAATTTATTATTATTAAATTCGGATAAAATCTGGATTTGAGATTTAAAAAAAAAAAATCCGGATTTGTAATTCTCTTTTTCAAATAAATATCTGTTATCCTCTTTATATCTGGATTCTATAAACCGGATCCAACACTACAAGTTAATATGAAATTTTTATTTATTAGAATTATTGAAATTATTTCGATTTTTTAAATAATCCTATTCGCTTAT